ATGGAGAGAAGGCAATTTTAGCTACTGAAGTAAGGGAGCTTCAAACTCGTCTACTCAGCTTGTCAGATGAAAGAGATAAATCTCTTGCAATTCTTGATGAGGTACTATCGTTTGTTCCGTATTTAGATCTTATGTCTTTAACTGTCGTATACATTTAGTTTGACTGATGAATAGCCAACTAGGAACCTGCCATAAGCATAAGAGTTACTTTGTTCTTTGTTAGTAGGCTCTTCTTGTTTCATATGGCACACACAGCCCAAGAAATTTAATGATTTTAGAATTTTGAATAAGCCAATGTTCAGTGATCTCATAATTCTTATTTAGCAAGTCCTTCTGGTATTTTGTATCATCATATAATAGAGGTAATGGTGATATGATAGTTTATTTCCATATGCATTCTCTGCAGATGCGTGAAACCCTTGAGGGTCGACTAGCTGTAGCAGAGGAAGTGAGGAAAGCAGCTGAGGAGGAAAAGCTGCAAAAGGAAGAATCAGCCCGAAGTTCACTTGCTGAAGTGGAAGCCATTATGGAGGATGTGGTCCAAGAGTCAAAGGTTCTACAGCAGGATGCAGAGGAGAATTCAAAGGTATGTAGTCTGAATTACATGAAAATTTTCAGGCATTTTTCAATTACAATAATTTGTGACTTTTATTTTGTTGCAGTTACGGGAGTTTCTCATGGACCGTGGTCGTGTTGTTGATTCATTACAGTAAGTTTTTATTCTGATTATTCTACATAAAATTTAATATTTTGTTTACATATACGATAGCTGGTGACTATTGTCCATCCTCCATGTTGCAAAATCATTATAGGCACCTTTAATAAAACATGCAAAGGGGTAGAAATTAATTAGTCAACTTTACTGATATTTTGAATGATTTGTTTGCTTCTTGAGTGCTTCAATCCATACTCTTGATGCTAAACATTCTTAGGATGGTGGGTGGTTGGCTTTAATTGAACAATCGGGCATGTTGACAACAGTGGAACAGGTCATGGATGCAGTCACTCTTATTTGATTATTGTGCTTCTATTGTGGTGCATATGAGGATCTAGGTTGTGATGAATATAAATTATATGCTGAAGTGGTATTTGTGAAGATGGTTTTGTGTTACCATCTTCCTTCTCTTGTAAACTGAATTTTCCAGAGATAAAATTTTTAAGTTCAGGATTTGTAGGTAGAGCAACTAGCCAGGATTCATGCCAATATTGCATTTGATATTTTTAGCTATTTTTTCAGTCTTTAACGTTCTTTACTGGGCTTCAATACTAGTATCTTATTCAGTGAAGCTAATTATTCTATCCTGTCACCATTTCTTCCCTGAAAATGATGATTTGTTGTTATCATTGCAACATGATATGAAATCTGTAGCTTTGCTCCTGAGATCACCAACCTTTTCATGGAAAGATTTTGCGAAATAATGAAACTTTGTTATTAATCCTTTGGCAGAGGAGAAATATCTGTGATTTGTCAGGATGTGAGATTGTTGAAGGAGAAGTTTGATGAGCGTGTTCCATTAAGCAAGTCTGTGTCCTCAAGCCAGACTACTTGCATCTTAGCCTCATCCGGCAGTTCATCCAAAAGCATTGCATCTCTGGCTGCTGAGCAAGCTCTAATGTCTGAAACAACCCTAGAGGACCCCTCAGTAGATGTCCAATCATCAAAAAGTAGTCTTCAAGATGAACCAACTGGAGCTGACCGTAAAGAGCTTTTGGATGATGGGTGGGATTTCTTTGACAAAGAATCAGAATTATACGGCAAAACCTTGTGAATTTTGGATACACCGGAATGAGGGAACATCTAGAGGTCTATGTTTTGCATAAATATTTCTTCAATATAGGACTTAAATGTTAGCACTCCCAAAGAGCTTACTATTACTATTCTGTAACTAAATAAAGGGTGGAGATTCAAACTTTTTCTGCATCGATAGCTAATCTCTATTCTGTACAGCATAGCATATTTTTCAGTAAATGATTGAAACCTTCAATTGATTGATTAAATTGGTGAGATCTTCAATTGATTAAAAGACACAGGGGTAATAGGTTTGTTGGCCGCACAAGTTATCAACTGACTAGAAGTCATGTTTATTATAATTAAGTTGTATTCTGCATAAAGATATAGAAAATATAGACTGAGACGCCGTATATTTTGGCAAATTCCTGTGAAAAAACGGATGATTAGATTCGTTAAGTTTGGCACTCTGTGCCAGATTGATGTTTATGTACTCCACCAGTCAAGAATTAGAAGTCATTTAGATTAGATTGAGAGAGAGTGAAGATGATTTAAAGAACCTCAGAAAGAGCGGGTTCATGATATAAAACTAGCTTAATTCGTTTCTATAACACAATTATTTTACAAAATAGACTTTAGTGGACAGTAATCATGCCGCCTTCATCTAACTTGCCTGTCTTTTAATGGAACTCTCTGACTCTTGCTTTAAATCTTCCACTTCCAGGCTCTAGCCATGCCAACATAAGAGCATTACAGTACACCTCCATATAATATAAAGCCTTCCTCGCTGCTCTCTCAGTTGCTTTGAACACCTCTGCCATGACCGAAACTTCATGCTCCTCTCAGCTGCCATTTTTAACAACTACTGATCAAATGGAGTTAGAAGAATTGATGAATTGTGTAGGAAGATAAATTGAAAAGTTGCTTTGTGGTTTGACGAATTTCTTGGGAAGTTTATGGGATTATATATAGAGAGAGTTGAAGATATGTAAATAAGAAATATGTGGTGTGTAACAACTGTTGGCCATTGTTTATGTTAGAGGACAAAGGTGACCTATTATCTTGTCCCCTTTCTAAACCATTCTGATTAAGACTTGTCATCAACTTTCCCTTTAGATGGTTATTCATGTCTCAAATGGATGCCTACTGCTTATTTATTCTCTTATTACAAGCTTTTAATTCAACCTTTCCCAAATTCAAATAACACTTCATTATAATAATCTTCAACGATTAGATTATCAATACTTATGCCACCAAACTTCAACTGAACACATACCTTCTACATTCATGGAAGATATCTGAGTGACATAATTAAGTTAATAAAAGTTTGAAAGTATAATTTTACACCATTAATCTTTTTTTTTTTTTTTTTTTTTAAATGACTGGAAGTGTCCGGGTCAGTTTACGTGCACCTCAACTAATCCTCCAGGATTCTAAAACTATCTTCCAGGTAAAAGTTTTAGGGTCAACCCTATTAGCAACCAAGGTGAAATTCGAACTTAGAATCTCTTGAGTAATACACCAAATAGTCCCTATTGAACCGCTTAGGTGTCATAGTTAATTATAAACATTCTTAAATCTTAAAAAATTCCTTATTTTGACCATGCATGAATCATAAACACAAACTGAAAAATACCCCTGAAGAAATTATGAAGATTGAAGCAAAGTCAGTATCCATCAAACATCAATCACCAAATCCTATCATCAGTGGGTTAAAATCATCACGTGCAAATGTCGAGCTAAATTAAGCCAATACATCCTCCCAATCAATCGGCCGACATGCTGGCCACTTAATACATTTTTTCTGGCCATGAAAATTAAATGTAATTTACTTCTTGTGCCCTACTTATCTTTACGGAGACAACAAGCCTTGATCCCTCGCCTTCAATAACAACGTTGCATGGCCTCTCATGTGAACCTAATAAACGACATATTGACATTGAAATCTCGATGGGGGTCACTCGTCCTGATTGAATCAGTGGTCTTAGCGAGTGACACGCATGCATGGTTGATAAGATTCTTCAAGTGGGCTCATGCCACGTGGAGAAGAGATCACTCTGTAGTGGTAAAGTTTGGCAAGAAAGAAGCGGATTGAAAGCTTCCCAAAACCTTATCTCCAATGGCAAAAATTCAAAGACGTTGACAAAAATATGCAGAAATTTTTTTATGGATTAAATGGAGTGTGACCCCATTGGACGCCTTGGAGAGAGGAACAAAAGGGTTCTTGTATTTCCAACAAAATGGATCAAATTTGTCTAAGTGAGAATAAGAATGTTGGAGATATGGATCAAATTCAAGAAAAATCCAAGCTGTCGGAGGGATTTTTTTTTTTTTTTTTTTTTTTTGAGGTATAATAATGGAGATTTATATAAGTACAGTGTTACATACATTACACGTTTTAAGGAACTAGCCAAAGTCACAAAACATTATATTTATGATAAATGTGTCAGAAAATTAGTATCAGAGAATTGTAATTTCTTGTATTTTGTATGTATTGTGTCTAACATTTATTTGTTTATGTTGATACTTGATTTTGACACCAACTATTCACGTGTGTGGGGTGTTAAGTGGACTTAGAAATCATACGTGATATAGAAGTATAAAAAGAGATATTGAACGGGTAGCACTTTTTAAAGTAGTTCGGATGCTCTAAGGCGAATCTTACGTCCACTATAATTATATTAATGGGTAATTACAATCAGGTCACACTCGGCGAGTTGGATTATAATAGAGAAAATAAGTGTAGAGAGAGAGAAAGAGAGAGTATATGTTTTGAGCGGCGGATGAGCCAATCCCGTAAAATAGAAGAGAGCCCTCTATTTATAGTTGGAAGATTCAAGTTGGTAATCATGACTCAGCGTACGGGTAGTTGTGGTACAATTTCTAACCCGCTTCTCATTGATTATCTACACGAGAAATATCCTTAAATCGTGTGGGGCTTCAGCAGGTGGGCAATTCCTAGCCACTCATAAGTCTGACGTTCACTTGCCTCTCTAACGATGACCTTACCCCTTTTGTCTTTGCGGGACGTGGCTGCATCCAGACGGCAGAAAATCTTCCTGAATTCTGATTGATCTTTGCTGATTTAAGCTTACGTCAACCCTGGTTTTTTGGACATAACAGTTTATATGTACATATAAATTGAATCTTAGTTTCATCCAATTATCTAAATTTTTTTGAGTAGTAATAATATATTTATTAGTAAAATATATATATAACAAGGATAAAGTTAAAGATTTTTGTTATAGAGGATTAATATTATGATAACGCATGCATGTAGTCATAAATGAAACGTTTATACGCTACATTTTTCCTCGCGAAAAGTTGTACTCTACTATATAATATTTGGTCATTGTTAAGACAAACAACGATCGATATTGTTTAAAGTGAGAGATATTTTATGTCGCTGTATCGCATATCTATTTTCTTGCAGTGAGAAAATTAAAAAAAGGTGGATAGTGTTATCATTAAATATAGGATAAGACTTCATATGCAAATTATTTTCAATAGAGAGTGGATAAATTTAATCATTGTGGGAAATCTTAAGGGATCATGTCTAAATGAACTCCAATTATTATGAGATATATGAAGTTAGATGGAGGTATATATATAATTCATGTTAAATATGAAGAAATTAAGTGGATTCATTTATGTTTATCTTCATTATATATGGTGAACAAATGAACTCAACGCCAGCTGCAATAGCTTAATTATTTTATATATTTAACAAAAAAAATTAAATGAAAAAATATATCAATCTTTTAGTGTCAACTGTGAATTATAAGATTATCATGAGATTTTTTATGAGAATAATATTTAGGTTTAATTGATATTTTGGAATCGAGTGGAGTTTTATGTTAATTAATTAACATAAAATTTAATTAAGTGGTTAATTGATTAGACAATTTGCAGAAGTGAGAGAATTAATTAATGTGCACATAATACATAATACTTCTTTTTTAATTTCTTTAAAACCTCTAATTATATTTATACATAATACTAGATCATAACATATTAATTTATTTTGGAATTAAATACTTAAAATGTGGCTATATATCATTGTATTCGAACATGATATTTTATTTGCTCTAAGAAAAAAATATCTCACATAATTTATTCTCTTTTTCATGATAAAAATTACACATTTGTTGAATGAACTTATAAATATAATTGAGTAGTGAACCATACAACTAAGGCTATGGATAAATACCCCAACTTTCAAATGGCAAAATAAATTAAATAGTGTGTTCTAAATCTGGTCACCTTCCAACGTACTTAATAGTTAATACCCCTTTATCCAAATGATAATTAACTCGAGTTATTATTACACGTAGCTATAGAGAGAGTATACTATAGAATAAAGAGTGAATTAGTTTCGAGAATTGGAAAAGAGAAGAAGAAGAAGAAGAATCTAATTTATAATATGATATGACCTTAAATTCAATCACATTTTTCTTTTTGAGTTCTAAATAACAATGCAATTTTTTTATCTGAAAACTTTGGTCTAATGTTTTATTTTTTTTTGTTTTTTTGTTTTTTTGGTATTCAATGATGTTTGACTCAACTTGCACGCACCTTAACTGGTTCTCTGAGACCTTGAAGTTAACGGTCAAATAAACTTCTAGTGGCTATCTCTTATTAGTAGTCGTGAGGATTCAAACTGAGGACCTCTTGAATAATACACTCAAGAGTCCCAAACCAACCACCAAGCTAGCTATTGGTAGTTTTTTTTTTTTTTTTTTTTTTTCTTTGGTGCCTTCTTTCTCATATTTTTCAACACGTCTTGGACATGAATTTTAACCTTCAAATGGTAAATAAATGAATAAAAGGAACAAAGAAATTAAAAAGAGATAGAACTGCAGAATTGAATGTAGAGATGTTATCATATCAGCCTTAATTGTATCATAGTATTAAATACATGTATTTAACATTAACAATCAAATTGACCAAGCCTTCGTCGATGAACTTGCATTGCTGCCTTACTTTACAATACACTATATAATTATAGAATAATATTATACTTACAAAGTTCTCATACAAATATATGTATACAAAATGATGTGTCATATTATGATTGGGAGAGTGAATTTGTAAAGTCAACTTTTTAACTAAAGTCAAATTCATTATCCAATCATGATATGACACATCATTTTATATATATATTTTTGTACGAGTAATTTATAAGTGTAGTATTATTTATAATTATATTACATTAACACACACTACCCTTTCCAGGCGGCGGCCGCGGCCAAAACTTCTGATTATATAT